CTTCTTAATTTTTTCTTTTGTTTTTCCCTGATATCCTTTCATATCTGTCTACGAGCAAATCTTCAGCTTATCAGATGAAGAAAACAAGTCACTTAATGTCTTACCATCAGTCATGCTAGGTCCTCATTCCACCCCTGACTTAATTCAAATCTTCAAAAATCTCTCCATTATATGAATGTGGGATATTGTGCTTCTGTATCCACAATTCAAAATGCCAGGAAATGGCCCAGTGTATTCTCGAAGGCTTACATGGCTGGGATCCGATGGTTGTTGTGGGTTTTCCAAGCTGTTTGGCCATGTTCTTAAGGTTTTTCTTCCTAATGTCTTGGCAGTCGTTGTGGCCAGCATCTTCAGAGGACAGGAGTCAGAACTCTATCTGAAGCTCTGAGTTCTGACTCCTGTCCTCTGAAGATACTGCAATAGAGATCTAAGCAGCCCCCACCAAAAGTACATGAGACATGAATGCCCCAGGGTCAAAAGCGTCATCTCACGGGACAGCTTTCCTTTAGGAAGGCCAGAGAAATTAATCACCTTTTTTGTTTCTATGCTAAAAGGCTTGTCTGCAGGTCTGGGAAAGCAAGTATCCTAGAATGGTCTGCCTATCTTCTTTTAGTCAGTGGCCCATTCTAGGTCCCTTGTCCCCGGATTACCCAGAAGGCAAGGCAAGGCAGGACAACACGTGGTTATCAAGGGGCTGGAGCACTGGTCTGCCTGGCAAAAACCATCTAAAAGGACAAACAGCAACCATATTAGTTGTTCAGGGTTCAGTTCAAGTTCATCTTGTTAAGTTTGGTTCAGCTTCTGGGCTAGGTTCTTCTTCCTGTATCTATTTCCGCGTGAACCCTTCAGCTGATCCTGCCAGCTGGAGTTTCAGCACTCCATAACTCCAAAACAGTCTAATGAGACTAAAGAGAGGTAATCTTTTGTCATTTATCTATCTTCTGGGAGTACTCCAAAACAGACTAAAGAGACTAAAGAGAGGCAGTCTTTTGTCATTTATCTATCTTCTGGGAGTAATTTCCCCACACATTGGCAGCTCCCCAATCTATCCCCATGTACATGTGTGTGTGTGTGTTTGTGTGTTATGTCCTTCTTTTAAACCCTTTTCAGCAATTTGCTTTCTTTAACCATGTATTTCCCCATGTTAGTTATACTTCACTGTGAAGCTGTTATATTTTAACCCTTTTTGTGCTTAATAACATTCCTCTTATGCATATTTGTGATATATTCATCCCAATCTGTGTCAAGATGCACTGTTGCTATAATTCAGAGATCCCTTATGGATGTGTCTCTGAACATGTGATAGTGCATATGTGTTCTGAGAGCACACCTGGTATTAAGAGCAGTGGAGATTACGGGCAAACATGTGTTAATGTGTTCCCATGTGCATTTAAACACAAAACATAGTGTAGTCTTGGCAAGGTGCGCCCGGAATAATTTTCCTTTCTTTGGCATGTTGAAACACTCTGCATGTTGGAACTTGGAATCTTATCCCAATCTATGCCAAGACACACTATTGCCACAGTTCAGTGGCTCTCCAACTGTGCACTGTGGCGTCCTGGGGAACCACAGCCAAATCCAGCCAGGGACCACGTGGAAACCTCTCACCTTTCATAGACCAAGGCACAACGAGAGGAGGGTGAGGCTGGTTTTGACTGATGGTTGGCCCTGCTCAATTGCACATCACAGGAAAGGGGCTGGAGTGTGGTGTGAGGTGGGTGGTACAAGCAGAGTGGAGAACAAGAAACAGCACACTCAAGGAGGTATGTATGTGTGAAAGAGAGAACCTCCTGGGGGGGGTAGAGGAGGAGGAGAGGTGGAATGTCTGTGGGAGAACTCCATTGGGGAAGCCTGGGCTTCCTTGCTCCCTTCTCTCCTCATCACCCAAAGTATTGTACTGGGGAGCCACAGCCAGTGGCCGGTAAGTCAAGGGAGCCAGAAATGGAAAACGTTTGGGAAGCACTGCCATAGGTGAGTGCACATGTGTTTCAAGAGCATACCTCGAAAGAACGGTATTCTAATTCCCTGGAGAGACATGGAAAAAGTCTATCTCTGGAGGAATGCAATTACATCACTTTCTTTTTAAAAGGCTTGTTCTTTTGTCTCTTCAAAGAAAAGCTTTTTTTTAACTCTGTTCTGTGACCTTTCATTGCCTTAAACCAGGGGTCTCAAACATCCGGCCCGGGGGCCATTTGCGGCCCCCCAGATGATAGTTTGTGGCCCTCGCCTTGCCTGCCCCCCCCCAAAGCACCCACACATCCTCTGCTGTCAAGAGTAAAAAAAAAAAAGCTTCGCCTCACTCGCCGGCTCTCTCCCAAGACAGCACCTCTTGCACCCTCCATCCAGAACTGCAGCCTGCCAGCCAGCCCACCTGTCTGTCGGCTAAGGAAACTCCTGGGTGGCTTCCTCGGGCTCTTGCTCCGCTTGGCGGAAAATCTGATGCAGCCCAGACTCACCCAGACTCTGCCTCCAGCGGCCCCCAGGTAAATTGAGTTTAAAACCCCTGCCTTAAACTCTCCAAATGTCTCCCTTCCCTGCCCATGAAGCTGCAACAATGTATATATTTTGCAATGTTCTTGCTGGCAAACCTGTTCCATGCATGCTCAGAGTGAAAAGAAATCACTGTTTCTCCCTTTTAAAAAAAACCTTTTTTGAGAACAAATTATTTCAGTCTTTATAATCTGGATTATTTTCCAATTTAAAAAGTGGGTGGGGGCAGCCGTTCTCTTTCAATATAAGCAAGATTTGTCTTTTAAATTTATATGATCTATTTTAAATCTGGGGATGTTCAGTGTTGCCTATTTCTGAAGGGAGAACTTTTACTCTTCATGTTTTACTCCGCAAAAAATTGCCCATCAAATTTGGCATAGAGGAAAAGCAGACTGTCTGCTATAACAACTCTAAATTTGGTGCTGATCTGAAGGCCTGTTTAAAAGTTATAATTTTTTGTTTAGGTTGCCCTCATTTTTAGAACTGCTTCATAGCATGTTGATTTGGTTCTGCCAGCATAGGATCAGGGCCATTTTCCACGTTCTGACAGGTTCCCAATTGCAGCCTCCTTCATAGGTGCAAACTTATATAACTCTTTTCAGATCTTGGAAGAGTTATTTTGTAGACCACAACTTTCAGAATACCCCGTCATGTTGTTCAAGAAAGCAAGCTTTCCATGATCTACTTCATCTTTTCCTGAACTTTCCTATATTGACACGCAATGCTTAAAAGAAATCATGGTGTTAACTATAGGTCTAGAAAGGCTTTAGGGAAGGAAATGTATTTTGGTGGTTCTAGTTACAGATTCTAGCTGCAAACCTAAATATCTCCAGTTAAAAAGAATTTAAAAGGACATACTAGGAGTGCCATGTGGCTCAGACTCAAGGAAATTGTTGCCAGTCAGAGGAAGACAGTATTAGGTTCAATAGGCAAATGTTCTCGTCTAGTTTAAGGCATCTTCCTATATTTCACTTTCCTGCCTTGTATAGAACTGTCTCTTTGGAGATGGGTAGATGCATGTCCCAGGCTGCTCTATTTAAAGCAGATTCCAAAATGCAGAACAGGAAAGCCTTTAACAAAATTAGGAAGGCCATTGCAATTTACATCCTAGGTTTTGAAATACAAAACCTGCTACTTCTGAACTGACTGCAGCCACCATTCTGGAACTTGCCTTAAACAGAACAACATATGTTGGTTTTTGGATCTTATGTCTTTTCTGCACTGTCCCCAGCTCTGTAAAGCCCAGTCTGATGAAAGCTTCTGTACCTGTCAAAACCTAACATATGTTTGTGCTATTTGAATGGTCTAAGAGAAGTATCACTCACCCTTGTCTTTTTTATCTAATGGTTCTTCAAAGGAAACCGCCCTGTAGATTTCCTCCAGTAGTGCAAGAGAAATATATTGTATATTGAAAAGGTGGGGAGATACAATAAGTTGTTTTATGTTAAAGGCAGCTTTCAAAGAAGGAAGTCCAATTGTGTGTGCCTTGAATAATAAGGGACATTTCTTTTTTGCTTTGTTTCTTTGGGGGGATGTTCTGCCTTAGAATCCCACAATAGCTGTCTTACTTTGATCAAGATTTTTAATTTGCCATAACTGCACATGATGACAAAACCTTTGTTGTGGTAAACAGATAAGACTATAAAGATTTCATAAAAAGAACACATGATCTTAGTCCATCCTGATCTGGTAATGCTGCAAAGAACTGTATCTTCCAGGCTCTGCCTGCCTCCCCCTCCCCTTTCCAATGGATGAAGTTACTTAAGTTTCATTTTTTTTTCAGTTTTAAAACACAGCTATAGAACATGATGGGCCTTCCAAAGCATCTGGGCAAAAACTCCCATCATCCATTAACATTGGTCAGGGCAGCTGAAATCTTAACATTTGGAGAGCTAAAATTCCTCCAGCACCGCTGGAGCTGTTTGACTAAAGGGAACATTCTGGGCAGTCAGTACTGTAAGCCCACATCCTCTTTCATAAATTCAGAGGGGAAAGTGTAGAGAGATGAGAGACACAATTTATAGCTGCCCTCACTCCATCTGATGGCAGCCGCCGATTTCCGAGAAGCTGCCCATACAGCAATTTTGTGATGAAATTCGTTTTTCAGTGTGAGAGAGGAATGATTAGAATGATGGCCTGGAGAGTCCCAGTCTGAAATCTCTGAACATCTATGGAGCCATGTGATTTTGGGCCAGCCACACATACTGAGCCTAATGTGCCCCAGAAAATGTTGCCATGAGGAAAGAGACGTGAGGTAGGGGAAAATACCATATCTGGTTAACGGCCACAAATTGCTGGGCAGAAGGGTACAATAGAGATATGTACACCTTTACATATTTTAATTTCTATTGGGACAGTTTCTTTTGTAAAATACCTTGAATCTGATTTTAGCACAGGAAAGTAGGCTGTAAGAATCCAAAAAAGAAATCAAATATCAGAAGAGCCTGCAAATACCGGAAGATGCAAACCCATTAAGAGACGACAAGTAATAATTTTTAGAGGTTGATATGTTTCAAGAAACAAAAGACTGGCATTATCCTTTATTCAAATTCACTTCACCAAAAAAATTGCAAATAGATTAAAAACAAGTCTGAATTGTTAAAGTGTCTCTTTTTTAAAGCTGGCACAAAGGAAAACATACATGTGGATTCAAAAGCAGGAGAGGTAGCTAACCTAAAGGGAAAACAAGAAATGTTTGGTAAGAAAGCTATCCAGCAATGGAACATGACTTAATTGAAGTTGAGGTAAAAACAACAATGTGGATGTAGAAAATACAAAACAGTTACATTAAGCCCCGTGCCTGAAGTGAAAACAACATACGTTATTAAAAGCATTGGAAAATATTTTTCCATATTGAATTAAGGAAACAAAAAATACACATGATTTTAAGTTAAGCCATGACAAAATTCAACTACCAATCTTCTCACTTTCAGCCAGAGATTCTACTACACTCAAAAAATCAGAACTTTGTAATTGAAGGAATAGTCCTTTGCTATTTGGTCATTTAATGGGCTGGGAATGTTGCATAATATTGATCCTCTGTAATTTGTTAAGCTGTAAGCCAAATGGTATGTGGGTTTCCACAGATAATGAATTAGTTCACTATCCCATTTATGTGCAAGACTAAGAACCATCAGTCAGCCAAAGATAACCTCTTGCACATGTGGTAGAATGGGATTTCTCCAGACTGACAGGGCAAACCGATAGGACATAATCTATTTTGATGCTCCCTCAGGTTCAAAAAATTATCTGCAAACTAAAACATTTAGATATTCAAATAAAAACAGCAGGCAATGGACTGGACTAGATTCTAAACCCAGACCCCCAAATATATTACCTTCTATTTTGAAGCAATATTTTAATACAGAAAAGGAAGCAAAGAAAAATGGGCTCACCTGACGTGGCACAGTCCTACTCTGCTAGGCCACTGTGCTATGTGTACGACTGGGTCTCAAATGCATGACGAAGGAAGGAGCTGTAGAAGGCTCTATGCTGGCCTGAAGCAAGGGGGCAGGGCTTCAAGGTAACACAGCTTCTAAATGCATGCCAAAAATGTTTTAGTGATGGTGTCTCCTCTATTAAGAATGTTTGATTGAAATAGCTATGGAACCAAAGGTCTCAAACTGCCCCCAGAGCCAATTTGTCATCCACAATTTTTCCACTCCCTAATCCCAACTAGAAACAAAGTAAGACTAAGAACATTTGCTGTCTGCAAGGGATTGAACAAACTCAAGTCAATAGCTAGAAGAACATGCAGTTTTGCCTTACAGCTTGCTTTGTAGAAGTACAGAAACTGTTAGGAATACACAGATCGTGTCACAATGCAGCACATGCACATGTAGGAGCACACTCACACACAACCTGAACTGTATTTTCTGAAGTGCATTTGTGATCAGTACTATTATTTTCTATTCAAGTGCTTTTCATACCTAAAAAGTGATACTCCAAACTCAGGACTCAGAAGTGAACAACCAAGTTTAGATTGAAGCAAAAGCAATTAGATTCTTAGATTCAAAAGAGAACATCTATTTAGTGGTAAAATTGTGAATATACAGTACAAAAAGGCAAGGATTTACAAACAGTCTTTTCTTTGAAAATTATCTGAAAGGACATACTACCATATTATTTGTACTCTTAAGTGGATTAGAAGACACTAATCATGAAACTATAGCCACATCCTTGCAACATTTTTAAAGGGTTATGACAACACTAATTGATAAATCTGTTAAGACCTTTTCTAAAAAAAAGCTTGGCACAGAGTGGGGCAGGAAGGAGAGGATTAAAACACCGCAACCCAAATTCCTTCACACCAATTGACTTCAAATCATTAACTTTCAGTCCAGTTACAAAGAGGTCCTAGCCTGATCACAGTTAGGAAACCCCAAGCCAACACAATGATGACATTTTCCACATGGCTCTGTTGACAAGCTTGAAACATTAAGAATTCACTTGTCAATACTGTCCTCTACGGACACAAGATATTCAACACATATGTCTGGCAAAGCTGTGCCTCTGCTAAGACAGTTGATCACAAAGGGGGCTTCTGGTTTCAACACCATGGACAGCACTCACCAGCCTTCATTATGTCAACTTCTACTCGCTACAAACTGGACGCCAGGACATCGAGTCAAATCTCTTTGTTCAACAAGCTAAGTACCACCCAACAAGACAATACAGTAAGTTAAGTATCACATAATTCAGATGGACTGATCCGAAGTATTATTCCTTACTTGTTCTTATATCACAGCATGGGAGAAAAACAGTCCAACTTCAAGTAGTTGAAAGGGGTACAAACAGCTGAAGACTTCAAAACAAAGACGTTAGTTGTGACCAAAGTGCATGTGCACAATTAAAAGCACTTCTGTCCCTCCCTCCATGTGCCCACTGCAGCACAACAGACAGGCTTCAGGGCTGTACTGATGAAAGGCAGGGTCCTTGTGTTTCTTCTGATGTATTTTCAGGACAACTCCCTATTCAACCCAGCTTGGTGTGGAATTTCTGGGTCCACCTCAGATCTAAATAAGAAAAGAGAAAAGAAAGACAGAAGGGGAAGTTTTCTACTAGGACTTTATGGCACTTTAACAACATAAAGAAAAAAAATTATCTCAATGTTACATAAGAGTAGAAATACAAAGTTCTGTTAGCAGACTTCCTACCTGTCTCTACTATTTCTATTATATTTCATGCAAATCTCCTAAAATGGAACAAGACTGAGTGGTGGCAGACAGCTATATAAAGAATATTAACAGTGCAATTTAACCCCTCTACTAGAAACAACACTTTTAAAAGAATAAGAACTGAAAGGAAAGAAAGAATATACCAATAGCTAGCCAGAAGTCCATCATACAAATTCCGATAGCTATTTTAAGGACCCCTAAATTTATTTGAATGACACCAGTAAAATACAGAATATTTTAGAATGTATTCCAGCTACTGAACACAGCAAAATTGGAAATTTAATTGTTACTGATAAATATACTTAACTCACTGGAATCCTTTTATTTATTAAGGCATAGGTTTTCATATTGCAGCACTGGAGAACAAATTTATTTCACTATCAAATGGTAAATACTATAAATTAAAACTTAATGTTTTACTCCTACTTAACCTGTTGCAGCAGAATATTTCTAATTTAAAACTAAAGCCCTTCTGAAGGACCATACAAGCCACGTGCAAATGCCTCAGATGAGGCTCAAATCCAAAGCACCTACCAATACTTTTGCAGATGTTTTATTGACTTTTTAACCAAGGAAATCTAAATCCAAAGCAATGCACGCTAAAATAAGGGCCCTTGAGGGTCCAGACCTGTATCAGAAGGTGGTTTTTGTCTTTGTTTCTGTTACGTTTAATTCAATACATCATTTGAATCAGCCTGACTCTTCCTGCAAGGATTTTCAGGCTCTCATCAACTGAAAATGGCAGAAGTGGGTGTAACGGCAGATGTCCAGATCTGCAATTCCATGACTGCCAGCCCTTACTCTTCCTGCAAGGATTTTCAGGCTCTTCATAAACTGAAAATGGCAGAAGTGGTTGTAACGGCAGATGTGCAGATCTGCAATTCCATGACTGCCAGCCCTCGTATCCAATCACAGATCAATTTAATTAGCATGAGGAGGAACCTTCAGTGATAAAGCTCCAGGTAAAAAAAGAATAGTGAAGCCTACCTCTGACTTAAGAATCTGCCCAAGGAGGACAGAACCTTTTTCTGGCTTTAGCTTGTACTTACCTTAGATTTTGAAGTAACACTGTAGGTAAAGTTAAAAACCATCCATGGAGGTAGAAAGCAAGCAGTGACATGGGAACAGTTTGCTGCACTGCATGTCACATCTCTACCTACCTGCCCAATGGACAGATACTCTGGGTGTGCACTCAGTGTAATGAGCTTCTTCCCTTCCTTGAAAGCAAAGATGTTGACCTAGAGAAGGATGGTGACCTAGAGAAAGGGCAAAGAGGCTCCTCAGGGATATAACAGTCACATCCCAACTGTAGGGTGACAGTTCTTCTGGAGTAAAGGAGTAGGTGGATCTCAGGGAAGGAGAATGGCATTCTTAAGAAGGGAGAAAGACAAACTTTGTAGTGGACAAACAGATATCCTCTTGCACCAAGGATATTTCTACGAGTAGGTTATGATAGTGAGTGGTTCTATTATTAAAATAAAATAGTTGGATTTGGGATGTGCACACAGATTGCATGATCAATTGCCTGTCAGGTGGCAGCAGGCGTCACATGGTATCAAGTTAGTAGTAAAAGAAAGCCAGCAGCTATGGTATTCAGTGTCATGGAAGAAAGGGAACTGTGAGATCTTGGAAGACACATTTAGGTTGTTAGACAGGAGGTTGAAATCCAAACCTTCCAAGGGAGCTTCCTCTACAACACACAGGGCCAGCTAGATAAGTGGAAATAAGGAGTTGCAACATATGGATAAGATGCTGATTCCACAAAGGGAGTTTCACATTTAAAGGAGTATTTTGAAAAAAGCTGGGCCTATACAAAATGTATGCCCTCATCCTGAACCAACGTGGAACCAGATTACTAGAATTTGTAAAAATTTGCAGGGCAGCTTTCATTTTAAATCCTGAGAGAAAACATCTGGTTTGGATGAATCTATTTCCATCTATCCAGATGACTTTTGTGGGGGGGGGGAGAGAAGCTGCTCTGAAAGAAACTTGTTTAAAAAATGAAGTTGAAAGGGAAAGTTGTGAGGGCAAGGTGTCTAGAATGCGGCTGCCCAAAACCCAGCTAGAATGTATACCACTGGAACAATGGCCATGGCCCAAAAAAACTGAATTTGACCTGACACATCGTACTGTATCCCTATACACATTTCCTTTTTCTATGTTATAAAATGCTATAAAAGGCAATCTTCGCTGAAAGTAAGGTAAAACCAATTCCTGAACTGGCAAGTGTCTTCTGCTAAATAACAATGCTTTACCTTTTGGTCAAGTCGCTGATAGTCACTGGATTTGGGCCTTCGTGTTACCTTGGATTTTTTCCCTTCCAGGGCAAAGGCAATAATCTTGAAAGGAAAAGGATATGCAGACAAATAGGTGTCAATAAAAGCTTGACAAAGGTTACATCTGAATTTTATACTGAATGTGCACAGCAGCTTACAACCATTTAAACTGAAAATGTACCCTGTCAAACTACAAAACATAGAAAATAGATAGAAGTGAGAAGACAGACCAAAAAATTGAAAGCCAGAGTTTGAGTCATCAATAGTTGGGAGTCGGAATGTCAACCAAAAGAAAATCTTTGCTGGAGGAAGGTCACCATGAAAGATAGAGGCTCAACCGAGTAAGGCAGGGTGGGGAAATTGTGAATAGTGTTAGATTCCAATTCCAGTAAGTCAAAATAAGCACAGACAATGGTCAGGGAAGAAGGACTGTGTAGTCCATGGACCTTTGTGGAAGGGAGAGTTGCTGCCCAACTCCTGCTCTGGATGCAGCCACAAAAACCACTCCTCCACCCCAATGGGACTCTGATATCAACTGGCTAATACTCACACAAACTCAACTTGTCACACTTGAACTAGTATTGCACAACTGTACCTGCTGCCAAACTGTCTAACTCTGCTCTTTGTCTTGACCTGGTGAGCCTGGACGTACATCTAGATCTTCTAAACTCTTAATAGTTATAGTATAAGGGGGTATTAGGGTAGTGGCTAAGCATGGAACCTCCCATTTCAAAGACTGCCACATCCAGAATTCACCTGGATTCTCCAGGTATCATTCTGGGCGAAGAGCACAAATAACACCATCATTGCACTCCATTCAATGTGTTTCACGTTTGAAGGAGGAAGAAGCTATTTGCTGGCAGTACAAGGATGCCTAGGAATCGCTGTCATACTGCATGGGTAAGGTAGTTCTTTGATTTGCTGTCGAAATAGACCCTAATGGGCAGCTAGATTATATTTCCCATGTAGCATTGCAACTCCCCAGCAGCCACCCTCTTCCAAGCTGAAAAGTGCAGAACAGAGTGAAATGACAGTAAAGCAACATTTATTTCACTTGTCATTTGTGGTCTCCCACTCCCAGAATTCTACAAGGGGGATTCCAGGTGAATTCTGGAAGTGGGAATTATTAAAATAGAAAAATCTGTAACAATTGCTGCGTGCTACGCAGAGGGAGGGGAAGCTCCACTAGCTCTCAATTGTTTCTTCTATAGCAGCCTTGTACAGTACTTGCTCAGGCAAAACAGAGAAGATAAGCATAAAGGATCGAAAGGTGCCCCCCCCAAAACTCACGATGGGGTGAAAAAAAGTACAGTAGGTTTTTAAAGGTCAGATACTGCTTTTCTGTGTTTAATTCATATGCCCATGGAACACTTCTTAGAGGAAGCTGTTTCCATATTACAGCTGCTTATCAAGATGTTTCCAAAGCACTCTTGAAATATAGGGCAGCTTCAAAAATTGGGTTGCTGTCCAGTAGCCCTTGAAACAGAGATTGCACTCTCTAAAAAATAATGTGCAGCAACACACCTACACCAACCACTTGACACTGTACTGCTCGATGACGGAAATCCATCAGGTAAATTACACAGGTTAAGCTTTTTTGAAAAACATTAAATTACTAAATCCACTTAAGTTTAACAAATCCAATTTCTAGCTAGATATTAAAAGATTTACTGTTTGTTTCTTTTTTTAAAAACCTGGCCTGCTTGGCACTGTAAGTGAAAACAAACTCAGTAATCTCCCAAACGGGAGGTCAAAATTTCCTCTCTCTGCTCTAGAAGTTGCTAAAGATACCAACTTAAATAATTTCCTACATCACCCTTGTTTTTACAGTCCTCACGTATCATACCCTATTCATTCTTCTAAAACTGCATATTCGAAATAGTCATTTCAGTCTTTAGGAGAGGTCTACAAAGCAGCTAAAGGAAATTAACCACAAGATAATTATTCTTTTGTCACAGAAAAAGCTTTCGTGTGTAAATAAAACACAGGTTGCTGTTTTCCTTGGTATTCCCCATGACTCATCTTGTATAAATATCACTTTTAAAACAAAGGCATGGCTTTATTGCATCATACTCTCTTCAAACAAATGCCTAGAAGTCATATGACTGGATATAATGATTTCCAACACACTTAGCCTTTTGGAACCAATCAGGAGGGAAATATGTTTCCGACATCAGAGAGTTAGCTTCGACTGGAAAGAGATATAATTACATTTCCTTGATCACTGTTAAAAATGACAATAAGTCATTATGGGACCTCCCTGAAAGCATGGGGTGAAGTAAAAATTCTGCAGTCTAACAACAAAAAAAGCAGCCTCATCCATCCTACAAGCTGACATTTCTGAATTTATCATCATGGACTTTGGAGAATGTCTGTATAATGAACAGGGCTGGAATGAACCTGATTCCTCAGACACACAGAGAAAAGTATGTACTCCTCCTATCCTATATTTCTATCATTCAAGAAAAAGTTAGGAAAAAAAACAGTGAGCAAGCTATGTCTTGATACCAGATTTTGAAAAGCAAAACTTAGATGTACTTTTTTGAAAGGGGATATGGCACCACCTCCCTCTCCTCAAACATATTTGAGGAAATGTTTTTCACTTTTGTAATCAGTAAAAAACAATGATGTAAGAAACGGCAAAAGTGAAAACAAGCAATAAGACCAACCTTTCGTTTGTTGTGGTAGGCAATGTATAATGCAGCAACAACAATAGCTGTAGTCACCAAGTAAGCAAAGAAGTGGCTATTTTCAGATTCGTTCTTGGGGGCTGGACCAGGAGGCAAGTTCTTCACATTGTCATTCTCAGCCTGAGAAACATCAGCAGCCCCTTTTCCTGCCTCATCCTCCATTTTCCCATCCCCATCCTCATCCTCATCCTCATCGAGGTTATCGCCTTTTGGAAAGGAATCATGATGCAGGTCACTTTTGTCAGTTTCCTCGGTAGCCTCAGGAACCAGAGGCTGAGAGGTTGGTTTTAGAACAGAGGCATGCACTGGAAAGGTTTCAGGAACACTTGTTGAGACCTCAGAATTCTCAGACACATCAGGTTCTGAATCATGGGAAGAAGACTTTGGAACAGATGCAACTAACTGGTGGCTTGGGGGCTTAGTTGAGGTGCTCTGAGATGGCCTTGGTGAGTGTGATTTTAGAACAGAAGGATTTGAGCTATTTTGTGAATTATTGTGAGAGTTCAGAGGAATAGTTTTCAGGTGTGGTTCAGAAAAATTTTGAGCAGACTGAATGGTTGAGGACTTGGTTGTCATGTCTGAAGTTTCTGAAGATGGAAGTTCCCCAGACTTGGTGTGGGGCTTCACTTTGGCAGTTTGAACAGGTTCATGAGCAGATGCGATCTGAGATGAAAGAGGAGATACATCTGAAACAAAGACATTTAGAATTATTGATGTTAAAAAACTACAGTTGTACTGCCAGGCATTTTCATACTGGATATTGATATACAGTAATTTATGGTTAAGCAATGCCACCTTGTGCTGGACCTCATCTTTCCAACTCTACAAAGATGCGCCTGTGCAACCATTTTCTAATATGTATCTGTTGGGAAGTTTTTAATGATACAGAGAAACAGAACATAAAGCTTAACTCAACATTGTGAATATAATGAACAATATGTTTCTAGGCTGCATGACACCTATTACAGTGGACCCTCGACTTACAGACGGCTCGACTTACAGACTTTTTGAGTTACAGACTTCTCTGGCTGCAAAATTTAGATTCGACTTGCAGCCAGAGAATCGACTTACAGACCAGAAAAAAAACCAAAACGGAATAAAAATAGAATAAAAAATATGTATCTGTTGGGAAGTTTTTAATGATACAGAGAAACAGAACATAAAGCTTAACTCAACGTTGTGAATATAATGAACATTATGTTTCTAGGCTGCATGACGCCTATTATTCACATTGCCTAACTATATACAATAGTTGTACAACACCATTTAAAATTTATTTACTTACAAGTATTTGTAAGTTATTTTTCTGCCCATCAAGGTCCCCAAAATAACAGAATCACAACATTAAAAAAAAAACAACAGAATGTATTCACATTGCCTAACTACATACAATAGTTGTACACCATTTAAAATTTATTTACTTATAAGTATTTGTAAGTTATTTTTCTGCCCATCAAGGTCCCCAAAATAACAGAATCACAACATTAAAAAAAAAACAACAGAAGGTATGCTGTTTCCATAGGGTTTGTGTAACTTTCCACAGGTAATTGCAGCTAACTGTCAAGGCAGAAGACCATGTCTTTATTGGGTACAGTGACCCAGCACCTCATCAGTTAGTTAGCATTAGCCAGGGCAAACATGCATACCTTATAACAACAACCAGCCAAACGTACAAGAATGAGGATGATCATGTTAACTCTCTTTTGTCTCCACATTGTCGCCAGCCTTTTCATACTGAGGCAAAAAAACCAATTCAGTTTTGTGATATCTTAAGGATTACGTTTTATTTATATTGAGCACAACCTTCATGGGCTGCTGGCCGTTTCAGTAAGATGAAAATAAATTGCAGCTTAAAAAAAAAAACCCTATGCCAGCCAGAACAGGCCAATTGCTGATGGTATCACAAGTCCACTATTTTTGAGACAAATGTGAGGAAAAAAACATGTAACGTCTACCGCTGGTGAAGCTATAATAAAATAGCTCATGCTTGACCCGTTCCATAAGGGGGGGGGCGAAAGGGGGCGCCTCTCCTCCCGCTCCCGCCCTCCCCGAAAGACTGACCGCGAGCGGGCGGGCAGCGACCGGCTCAGAGGCCCGGCCCTCCTTGGCCCATTCAGGGAAGGAAGACGCCTACCGGTTTTGTTTGTGGCCGAAACCCCGAACGAGGCCAGCTCGAAGAAGAAAAGGAAACAGAATGCAGCCGCCGCCGCCGCCGCCATACCGGCTCGAGAAGCCCTTCCGCTTCCTGAAAGCTTGACGACAAGAACCCGGACGTACGTTGTGACGTCGCAGAAACATCCGGCCGTAGGTCAACGCCCCCGAGCGATCTTCTCTCGCGAGATCAGGAACTATTAACGTCTCTCCAAGGGAATGGAACCGGGCATCCAATGAGAAAAGAGAGGATGACAAAGGGCGGGTCTAACTGGCGGGTGGGCGAGTCAAGAATGGAGGACTAGAGGGGAGAGACGGTAGAGCCAAAAAAGTGAAGAGTGGTAGGACCATCTGAGTTATCCTGAGCAATGAAGAGGCGTTTTAGAATCGAGTGACTTAAGAATGGCGTCGCTCTAGAGCTGACATCTCGATAGTGTAAAAGAAATGGGCCACGTATGGCCCTTCGGGTGTTGGACTACAGTTCCCATCAGCCCGCACGATGAGTTATGCTGGCCGCGGGTGACCTACTGTTCTTGCGCCAGCAGCCCGTAAGGGATTTCGAGGGTTGGGGAGAGACGTTTGGTCGCCAATATGCATTTGGGAGCCCAGAGCTCACAGCCTGATCCCATTGCCTGTGCTAACTGCGGCATCTGGGAGCTGTAGTCCGACCCCCTTCAACCACTGGGTGGGCCAGACGCCCCCTATTTCTCTTGTAGTAGAAAAAAATCGGTTCCAGCTGAGGGACGATGATGCCCGTCAAGGAGACTGAAACCTTTTCCCGAGGGAGCATTGCTCCAGGAAAAGCCTGCAGTCCACGACTGGCTGGACCAATATTTTTATTTCTGTCGAGAGGATACAAAGCGTGACCCAATACTTTGATCAGTCGTTTTTCCAGCCCCCCCCCCTTCTTGGGAGAGTAATTCCTTTTTGTTCCTCAGTATATCTTGGACACAGAACATCCAAAAAACTAAGATCATGGCCACTGGCCCCATCACCTCCTGCCAAACAGAAGGGAAAGATATGGAGGCAGTGACAGATTTTACCTTCTTGGGATCCATAATAAACGCAGATGGAGACAGCAGCCCAGCAGCCACGAAATTAAAAGATGCCTGCTTCTTGGGAGGAAAGCGATAACAAACCTTGATAGCATCTTAAAAAGCAGAGACATCACCTTGCCGACAAAGGTCCGTATCGTCAAAGCTATGGTTATTCCAGTAGCGATGTATGGAAGTGAGAGTTGGACCATAAAGAAAGGTGAAGAATTGATGCCTTTGAATTGTGGTGCTGGGGGAAACTCTTGAGAGTCCCCTGGACTGCAAGGAGAACAAACCTATCCATTCTAAAAGAAATCAACCTTGAGTGCTCACTGGAGGGACAGATCCTGAAGTTGTGGCTTCAGTACTTTGGCCATCACGAGAAGAGAAGGCTCCCTGGAAAAGACCCTGATGTTGGGAAAGTGTGAAGGCAAGAGGAGAAGGGGACGACAGAGGATGAGATGGTTGGAGATTGTCATCGGAGCTACCAACATGAGTTTGACCCAACTCCGGGAGTCAGTGGAAGACAGGAGGGCCTGGCATGCTCTGGTCCATGGAGTCACAAAGAGTCAGACACGACTTTAACGACTAAACAACAACAATGTTTTGAAGCGAGTATTTCATACTGCATAGCTGGCTGGATAGTTCTGTGGTTTAAGTGTCTGGCTACAGATCCAGAAGTTCCTGCCTTGAGCAGGGAGTTGGGCTCGATGGCCTTACAGGCCCCTTTGAATTCAGTTGCGCTGTAATTTCAAGTTGGCAGTTCGATTCTCCCCTGTGCCTTCTGGAAAAAGAGCCAGCCTGTGTGGCTTTGGGCAAGCTGCACAGTCCCAGGGCGTCCCCAGAAGAAGAGAAGGGCAAACCGCATCAATGTTTTCTCTAACTAGAAAACTCTGGAAAGGGTCGTTCTAAGTCAGAATTGACAGCATGCAATTGTTATTTTATTTTATTTGATGTTTATACCACCCATCTGGCTGCCAAGGCTGCTCTGGGCAGTTCACAACTCGAAAATAAATTTAAAAAAATATAAAAACAATAAACATAATAATCAAAAATCAAATCTAAATATCAAATAAACATAAACAGGCAATTACTAAATTATTACTATTTAGTACTACAGAGCTTCATCGGGAGTATTCATTTATGTGTCAAAGTTGAAAACTTTTAATTAGTTTTTTAGACGATCTTTTAAAATGCAGCAAACAAACAAACAAAAAACCCCAGAAGCAAAGTTGCAGTTTACAGATTTCTTTTGTAATGGAATGATCTTCAAATACATGGTTTTAGAGTTAAGCACAAAGACAAATAACCGTATGCTCCTCTCCCCCCCAATAAATCAAACCAGCTGTGCTCAATTGAGAGTGAACGATTTCCTGTCTGGTCACATCCTGGGCCTTTTATTATTTTTCTCCTGTGAGAGGAGAATCCAGTTGTGTGTGAGTAGAGTGTGGAATGAATTACAGATTTTAAAAAATTCAAAAATAAATTCATAGTTTAATGTCAATAAGCAATGTTAGTAAAAGGTCAATATAGCATGGAACTCACTGTATTTTTTATATTATTGATACACTATTTAAATTGTTAGTTCACAAAAATAGTAGGATGTACAGATCTGGTCAATTATTTTCCTCAGTCTGGCCCATTCTTATTAGTTAGACAACAAATCTCACTGTGCAACAATACAAGATGTTTGAAACAAATTCTGGTGTTGGCAGCTGTGCAGTGTAGGACACAATCTACAAGAAATGCATGGGCTAAAAACATTTGCTTTATGTAAAACCAAAAATTATTTATTCAGTTCCATACACATGTCTTAAAGATAATACTGTACAAACCACAGGAGGAAGAATAATCAAATAAATAAATAAATTCCTGTCAGAGGCAACATCACAAATATGTGGGGCAATCTCCCATAGAATATGTTGAGGGGCATAGAGCATATTGACATAGGTGTGAAGTCGGCATTTATTCTCCACACTCTCAAAGGACTGTGCCAATGCAATAACCCCATTTTCTGAAATTCACTTTGAGTCTGCCAACTCTGACCCATGCACCATTCAAGGTAAATACGGTTATTTAACAATTTAATTCTTAAAGGGTTGAATAAAGGTAAAGATAAAGGTTCCCCTTGACAATTTTTTGTCCAGTCGTGTTCGACTCTAGGGGGCGGTGCTCATCCCTGTTTCCAAGCCATAGAGCCAGCGTTTGTCCGGAGACAATCTTCCGTGGTCACATGGCCAGTGCGACTTAGACACGGAACGCTGTTTACCTTCCCACCGAGGTGGTCCCTATTTATCTACTTGCATTTGCATGCTTTCGAACCGCTAGGTTGGCAGGAGCTGGGACAAGCGACGGG